AAGATGTACATCTAAAAAAAATAAATGGGAACTTCTCAACCACTATCCAGTGCTTGAAGAAATAAATTAGAAATCCACCTACTTAACCTAGAACATTCAGGCTATAATTCCTTCATTTTTTACACAAAAAATAAGCTCTAATGAAGCCAAGTTTGACAAGTTAAATTATGTTACTCCATTAAGCCTTAATGTCATTAGTTTAGCACTTGGAATTCAGCATGGTGATTTATAAACCACGGTTTATAGCACAGGCAAACTTAGCTAACTAGAGATTATTGAATGAGGATTAAACTATGGTACAGTGCCATATGTAAACCAGGATGTAGAGGGATAACCAGAAAAATACTGGAACTCTTTTAGGTATATTTAACTGCAAACTCTTGTCAATTTCCAAATAACTATCACAAGATCCATTATACAGCAACATCTATTAGAAGAGCTGTAAAAAAAAGCAATAGCACAGCCATTATTAACATGGTGGCCTATTCCTCTCTAACTAATAATAAGTTGATCAACATTTTATGCAAAGTCAACCTTAATAGGATCACCAAAAGTTGTTCAAATCCTCCAACATTTAAACTCAGTTCTTGCCGTTCCTGATTCAAATGTATGTCAGGGCCGATGCCTCCCTTTTTAGAACTTTAGAAATTAGAATGTTCTAGAATGGGACCTACAATTCCATCACTGAGAAGGTGGTAAAGAATCATACGCGCCAAGTAATTTAACTTGGCAATAATTGCCTCTAATTTACTCTATAGCCCGCAGGAGGAGGAAAAAAGAACATAATTGTAATTGCATTTAAATTCTAAGACGGGGTTTTTAGAACTCTTACTTCCTCCTCGTTCTTAGTCAGTGCGAATAAGCAGTTGCTGATTTTTGGCTTGGATTTATTTTTTTATTTTTTTTAGTTTTTGAGAAAAAAAACGGAGAAACTGAATCCAATTTTCCAAGTTATCAGTAGGGGCGATGAGACAATTGTTTAAATTGTTTCGTTTTGGAGGATGACAAATAGAGGTTTGTTCAATGCAGCTTTTCACAGCAATCTGCTGCTGATTTATTTTTAACAAATGAACTTGAAAAACCCTGGCAGTCTCAGAAAAGATCTTATTTATCAGGTGTACACACCTGCAAGGCAACTCTGAGCAGCGAACAAAACCATAAACAACAACGTTAAAGCATTCAAATATACACAATATTATAAAAGGTTAATAAATGAATTGTGATATTTCCGGCGGTGGGGGTGGGTGGGTTAGAAACCCTAAAAAAGCTATGTGAGAAGTCAGAATTATTTCGGGTGACCAATCTTCAATAAAGTTGAGTTCATTAAAATAACAGCAAGGTGCCAAGGTCACAATTTAATTGTGATGTTGGTTGGACTGAAAATGCCTTTTCAGAAAAAGGCTCGCTATTTCAGCCGGGGGCTGGACTAGAAGACCTCCAAGGTCCCTTGGGTGTGGGAAAGTTTGGCCTCGGCTTCAGCAGACCAAGATTGAGTGACACTTGTCCATTGATCTCTGGAATAAAATCCAGTGCCTACACTCTTTCTGGATTTTTATAAGATATTTCCTTATCTGAAGACGACCAGGTCAGCCGCCGAGACCATGCGATCAGCCTCCCGCCACCCAAAATGGAAGCGAAATTTCCAATAACGCCGGCCTTAAGGTAGCCTGCCCCTGCCCAGAGAAGCTCCATTTCACGGATAACTCCAGAGTTGTAAAGCCGTGAGAAAAACTCCTGCATTTTTTTCCTCCTCGGCTATCAGACCTGGAATATTTGCACCTGAAAATCCCCATTTAAAAGGCTTCTAAAACCCGCTTAGTTTTTTCCCCTCCCACCCCAGGTAAAAGAAAAAAGAAAAAAAAGGGGGGACAAACTCCCTCATTTTTGATGAAGGGTGGCGGGGGGGATTGAAATGAACTGGAGACGCTTCCCGGGTTAATTCCTCCTCTTGGAAATGAGGAGCTCTAAAAAGGAAGCCAAGTTGGATCTGCTTTAAGGAAGCCGGATAAAAGAAGGTGGCAGGGAGGGGGGGGCTTTCCCTGAGGGGGGGACAAAGGGGAAAAAGCCCTCAAATTCAGCAAAAGCCGAGAGGGGAGAAAAAAAACATCCAAAAAGGATACTGAGCCTCCTGGTTCCCCCCCCAGCCCCCTCCCCAAAGTCGGGCCCCCGCCTCAGGGGCGACCCCGCCAGGCGCCGTCCTGGGGGTGAGAGGCTCCCCAGCTGACGGGCTCCCTTTGGGGGCGCCTCGGGGGTCCCGAAGCTGCTCAGCCCTTCCCCAGCCTGGGGGGGAGGGAGGGGGGCGCTGGGCTGGCCAGCCTCACCCTGGCTTGGGAGGGTCGGAGGTCGTCAAGAGACCGCGTGGGGGGTTAATGGGGGGGGCTTGGCTCGGCTGGCCGAAAGGAGGCGGGACCCCAGTGTGGGTGGTCATTTCTGTCTGTCTACCTCAGGGGTCCCCAACCTTGGCAACCGGTGGACTTCAATTCTGACTTCAATTCCCATGCTGGCTGGGGAATTCTGGGAGTTGAAGTCCACAGATCTTCAGGTGGCCGAGGTTGGTCATGCCTTTCTCTATCTCATTTCTCTATCATCTGTTTCTCTCTCTGTCATTTATCATCTATCCTTGCCTCTTCTATCATCTCTCACCTCTATGGATCTATATCAATTTATCTATCATCTCTCTATCTACTGTCCCAGCTATCTAATCTACGTCTTTTACCTAGCATGTCTTTATCGTTTATCTGTCGTCTATCATCCATGTATATCGTTTATAGTCGATATCATTATGTCTATTCTATCATCTCTCACAACCATGTATCTAGATATATCAATTTATCTTTTATCTATCATCACTATCATTTATCTTTCATCGTCTTTCTATCATCTATCATCTGTTTCTTTCTATCAATCTATTTATCATCTATCAATCATTTATCTAATCTATCATTTATCTATCCTATCTAATCTATCCCTGTATCTATCCTATCTATCTCTACCTCTGTCATCTATCTATCTATCTATCTATCTATCTATCTATCTATCTATCTATCTATCTATCTATCTATCTATCTATCTATCTATCTATCAATCATCTAATCTCTCTATCCTATCTATATCTACTTCTATCATCTACCTGTCATCTATTTATCTCTATCTACTTATCTCTCTACCTACCTATCTCTATCTAATCTCTCTCTCTCATTTATCCTATCTAACCTCCCTCTCTATCCTATCTACCCATCTCTATCTACTTTATCTACTTCTATCATCTACCTACCTACCTACCTATATCTACCTCTCTCTCTCTCATCTATCTAAATGGGGGTCTTCTTTGCAAAGAATCCCCTGCCCCACAAAATCTTTTCTGTCCACACACTAAGCTTCTTGGCTGGCTCAGTGTCCTATAAGCCCGAAAATGCGCCACCTGAGTTTGCAAGGAAAGCCCCCAATGGCTCCCCCAGGACTGAGCCTTTTCTACTGTGGGGGAGGGTGTGGGGGTAGGGGGAAAAGGAAGTTCCTTTCCAGCTGCTTTAAAAGGGCCGCATCCTGGCTTCCCAGCCCCCCCCCCCCCCCGGTTCCAGTAGCTGGGCATCTCCCTGGCATCGCCAGCCCTCTGCCGAGTCCCAGTTTGGGGCATCTGGGCACGTCCCTTTTCCAAAGGTGCCTTGACTTCCTTCTGCTTTTGGGGCTCTCCACAGGTTCCCCGAGATCAGGGCCAGGCCAGTGGGGTGAGCGACAACCAGAAGTTTGCCAACAAGCACAGCCGACGGGCACTAAAGGCCAGCCTGACCCTGGGCATCCTTCTGGGCATGTTCTTTGTGGCTTGGCTGCCTTTCTTTGTCTGCAACATGGCCCAGGTAAGCACTCGGGGGGGGTACATTCTGCCCCCCCCAAGAGAAGGTTGCAAGGGGGCAGAGGGAGGGTAGGGAACCTGGGGTGGGGGTGGGGGGGCAGGAGGGAAATTGGGAGTCCCATCAGCTCCAATTATCTCCCATTTCTTGGCATCTCCTTGTGATCCTGGAGGTTCAAGCTTAAATCCTCACGTGGCTCTGGATATTTTTATTCCTTTTACTCCAGTCACAAAAGTTATTTTTATTCATAAAGCGTTTCCCCCCCCCCTTTTTTTTTTTTTGCATCAGTGAAAGATGCTCAAAAGGACGAGGGGGATGTTGAGTTCTCTAGAAGCGGATGCGTTGTTAGAAAAAGCAGTCGGGGAAGACGATTGCCCTCATCTGTTCCAACCCCTGGTAGAGTTACAATTAGTCCTCGACTTACAACAGTTACAACAGATTTACAATTAGTCCTCGACTTACAACAGACCGCTCAACGGCGATTGTATGTGGTAGATGGTGGAATCGGCATATGACCGTTTTTCACACAATCGTTGCAGCACCACCAGAGTCACGTGATCAAAATTCAGATGCTTGGCAACTGACTCATACTTATGACGGTTGCAGCGTCCCGGGGTCACGTGATCCCCTTTTGCGACAAGCAGCCAATGGGGAAGCCGGATTCACTTAACAACCCGTGTTACTAACTTAACAACTGCTGTCTATGGAGATTCTCCGTCATCCAGGTCACAGTTATCCCAAAGGTGCTTTTTTCAGGAGGCAACTGGACTTTCTTGTTTTTTCTTTGAAGAGGTTTCACTTCTCATCCCAGAAGCTTCTTCAGCTCTGACCGGATGGTGGGGAATGGAAGGATTTATACTCCTTGCAGACAGCTGGTCATTTGCCTTCTTTTGGAGAGTCATTGAGGCCACTTGGAGGTTTATCTGTGTCCTCAGAATCACCTGAGTGGTGCAAATGGGTTTGGAGCCTTCTTGGAACTGTTGAAAGGATGAAGGCTCCACACACGTTTGCTCTACTCAGGTGACTCTGATGACACAGGTAAACCTCGCAGTGGCCTCAACGACCCTCTAAAAGGATGCAAATGACCAGCTGTCTGCAAGGAGTATAAATCCTTCCATTCCCCACCATCCGGTCANGGGGGGGGGTTAATGGGGGGAGGGGCTTGGCTTGGCTGGCCAAAGAGGCAGGACCCCACTGTGGGTGGTCATTTCTGTCTGTCTACCTCAGGGGTCCCCAACCTTGGCAACCTGTGGACTTCAATTTCCAGAATTCCCCAGCCAGCCATGCTGGCTGGGGAATTCTGGGAGTTGAAGTCCACAGGTCTTAAAGTGGCCAAGATTGGGCCTACCTTACATCTAGCTGCCGTTTACCTATCATGCCTTTCTCTATCTCATTTCTCTCTCTGTGTGTGTCTTTTATCCCTCACCTCTTCCTGTCATTTATCATCTATCCTATCCTTGCTTCTTCTATCATCTCTCACCTCTATGGATCAATATCAATTTATCTATCATCTCTCTATCTACTGTCACAGCTATCTAATCTACGTCTTTTACCTAGCATGTCTTTATCGTTTATCTGTCGTCTATCATCCATGTATATCGTTTATAGTCGATATCATTATCTCTATTCTATCATCTCTCACAACCATGTATCTAGATATATCAATTTATCTTTTATCTATCACTATCTATCTATCTATCTATCTATCTATCTATCATCTATCTATCTATCTATCATCTATCTCTTTTATCTATCCTAATCTCTCTATCCTATCTATCTATATCTTACTTTATCATCTACCTACCTACCTGTCATCTATTTCTCTCTAATCTCTCTACCTACCTACCTACCTCTATCTAATCTCTTTATCCTATCATCCATCCATCCATCCATCATCTATCTATCTATCTATCTATCTTCTCTTTTATCTATCCTAATCTCTCTATCCTCTATCTCTTTTATCTATCCTAATCTCTCTATCCTATCTATATCTACTTTATCATCTACCTACCTACCTGTCATCTATTTCTCTCTAATCTCTCTACCTACCTACCTACCTACCTCTATCTAGTCTCTTTATCCTATCATCCATCTATCTATCTATCTATCTATCTATCTATTTATCTATCTCTACTTATTTATCATCTACCTACTTACCTGTCATCTTTCTATCTACTTATCTCTCTCTACCTACCTATCTCTATCTAATCTCTCTTTATCCTATCTCTCTCTATCTATCTCTATCTACTTTATCTACTTATCTATCATCTGCCTACCTGTCATCTATTTCTACTTATCTCTCTACCTACCGCACTCTAATCTCTTTATCCTATCTAATCAATCAATCAATCAATCTTATCTATGTATCCTATCTAATCTCTCTCTCTCTCTCTCTCTCATCTATCTACATGGGGGTCTTCTTTGCAAAGAATCCCCTGCCCCACAAAATCTTGGCTGTCCACACACTAAGCTTCAAAGCCAGGTTGATCTTGGCTGGCTCAGTGTCCTATAAGCCCGAAAATGCGCCACCTGAGTTTGCAAGGAAAGCCCCCAATGGCTCCCCCAGGACTGAGCCTTTTCTACTGTGGGGGAGGGTGGAGGGGGGGTAGGGGGGAAAGGAAGTTCCTTTCCAACTGCTTTAAAAGGGCCGCATCCTGCCTTCCCAGCCCCCCCCCCCCCGTTCCAGTAGCTGGGCATCTCCCTGGCATCGCCAGCCCTCCGCCGAGTCCCAGTTTGGGGCATCTGGGCACGTCCCTTTTCCAAAGGTGCCTTGACTTCCTTCTGATTTTGGGGCTCTCCACAGGTTCCCCGAGATCAGGGCCAGGCCAGTGGGGTGAGCGACAACCGGAAGTTTGCCAACAAGCACAGCCGACGGGCACTAAAGGCCAGCCTGACCCTGGGCATCCTTCTGGGCATGTTCTTTGTGGCTTGGCTGCCTTTCTTCGTCTGCAACATGGCCCAGGTAAGCACTCTGGGGGTACATTCTGCCCCCCCCAAGAGAAGGTTGCAAGGGGGCAGAGGGAGGGTAGAGAACCTGGGGTGGGGGTGGGGGGGCAGGAGGGAAATTGGGAGTCCCATCAGCTCCAATTATCTCCCATTTCTTGGCATCTCCTTGTGATCCTGGAGGTTCAAGCTTAAATCCTCACGTGGCTCTGGATATTTTTATTCCTTTTACTCCAGTCACAAAAGTTATTTTTATTCATAAAGCGTTTCCCCCCCCCTTTTTTTTTTTGCATCAGTGAAAGATGCTCAAAAGGACGAGGGGGATGTTGAATTCTCTAGAAGCGGATGCATTGTTAGAAAAAGCAGTCGGGGAAGACGATTGCCCTCATCTGTTCCAACCCCTGGTAGAGTTACAATTAGTCCTCGACTTACAACAGTTACAACAGATTTACAATTAGTCCTCGACTTACAACAGACCGCTCAACGGCGATTGTATGTGGTAGATGGTGGAATCGGCATATGACCGTTTTTCACACAATCGTTGCAGCACCACCAGAGTCACGTGATCAAAATTCAGATGCTTGGCAACTGACTCATACTTATGACGGTTGCAGCGTCCCAGGGTCACGTGATCCCCTTTTGCGACAAGCAGCCAATGGGGAAGCCGGATTCACTTAACAACCCGTGTTACTAACTTAACAACTGCTGTCTATGGAGATTCTCCGTCATCCAGGTCACAGTTATCCCAAAGGTGCTTTTTTCAGGAGGCAACTGGACTTTCTTGTTTTTTCTTTGAAGAGGTTTCACTTCTCATCCCAGAAGCTTCTTCAGCTCTGACCGGATGGTGGGGAATGGAAGAATTTATACTCCTTGCAGACAGCTGGTCATTTGCATCCTTTTAGAGAGTCATTGAGGCCACCTGGAGGTTTATCTGTGTCCTCAGGATCACCTGAGTGGTGCAAATGGGTTTGGAGCCTTCTTGGAACTGTTGAAAGGATGAAGGCTCCACACACGTTTGCTCTACTCAGGTGACTCTGATGACACAGGTAAACCTCGCAGTGGCCTCAACGACCCTCTAAAAGGATGCAAATGACCAGCTGTCTGCAAGGAGTATAAATCCTTCCATTCCCCACCATCCGGTCAGAGCTGAAGAAGCTTCTGGGATGAGAAGGGAAACCTCTTCAAAGAAAAGTCCAGTTACCTCCTGAAAAAGCATCTTTGGGTTAACAACTGCTGTAATCCACTTAACAATGGCGGTGAGAAAGGTCATAAAATGGGGCAAAGCTCATGGAACAACTGTCTCGCTTAACAACAGAAATTTTGGGTTCAGTTGTGGTCGTAAATCGAGGACTGCCTGAATTTGCAAAAAAGCGAGCTTCGGCAGCTCCTCTTATTCCGTCTTTCTTCTCTTTCTCGCTTCTCCTCAAACTGTCTTCTTCTTCTTCTACTACTTCTTCTTCTTCTTCCTCCTCCTCCTCCTTCTTCTTCTTCTTCTTCTACTTCTTCTTCCTCCTCCTCCTCCTTCCTTCTTCTTCTTCTACTTCTTTCTTCTTCTTCTTCTTCTTCTACTTCTTTCTTCTTCTCCTCCTCCCTCCCCTTCCTTCTTCTCCTTCTCCTTCTTCTTTCTTCTTCTTCTTCCTCCTCCTCCTTTCTTCCTTCTTCTCCTTCTTCTTCTACTTCTTCTTCTTCTACTACTTCTTCTTTCTTCTTCTTCTTCTACTTCTTTCTTCTTCTCCTCCTCCCCCCCTTCCTTCTTCTTCTCCTTCTCCTCCTTCTCCTTCTTCTCCTCCTCCTCCCCTTCCTTCTTCTTCTCCTCTCTCCAGGCGGTCTGCAACTGCATTTCGGCCGATTTCTTCGACATCCTGACCTGGCTGGGCTACTGCAACAGCACCGCAAACCCCATCATCTACCCGCTCTTCATGCGGGACTTCAAGCGGGCCATGGCCAAGTACCTGCCTTGCTGTCCCCGCACGTGGGAACACAGGCCCAGCCGCGTCTCCCTCTCCCTGAGGAATTCCAACAGCGGCCCCCGGCCGGGGGTCTCCCTCCGGAACGCCCTGTCTCTGCCAGGGGAGACGGACTCGGCCGATTCCATCATCCACGGCAACGACCTCAGCAGCCAGACCCTCGGCTTCCTCCCGGCCACGCGGGCCAACTCCCTTCGCCTCTCCCAGGCCGAGCAGACGCCGGAGCCCAAGCTGAACCTCATCTATCTGAACAGCCCCTCCGACTGAGCATCCTGCCCTGCTCGGTTGGCCAGGTGGCGGTTCTGACCCGTGCTGGGGTTGTGGGGAGGGGGAGACAATTCCACCGGTCAGGTGTCCCCCTCCGGACCCAGGAGAGCCACTGTCCTGCCTTTCGCCTGGATTCCCCCCTTCTCCCTCCTTAGATCTTTTTAGATTTTTTCCCCCCTCTCTCTGTCCGCCAGCCTTGCAGCTTGGATGGCTTCTGGCGTGATTTCCCCCCCAGTCCGTATGTGATTGCAGAACGCTGCCAAGCAAACATATGTGTGCATGTATGTGCGTGTTTAAGAGGGACAGTGCAGCGGAGGCCTGCCCTGGCTGTGTGTTTTGCCTCCTGGAGTCCCCACTGCAAACCTTCCCATCCCCTCTCTGGCCTAGAGGCCGGCCACTCGCTGCCCCAGCCTTATTCCCCCAAAGCACCTTGCACGCGGCGCTAAACAGGAAGGTTTTCACTTGGCTGTCTTCCAAACCAGGGCTAGCGGCCGTGAGCCAGGGTCATCCACGACCGGCTCACCTGTGCGCTGCTTAATCCCAGCCTCCCTTTTTAAAAATACAGCTGGAATTCCAACGGCGCACAATATTTCCCCATCACCAGATTTGTGTTATGTTTTATTACAGCCGTTTGGGCCGGTGGGGAGGGGGAACCTGCTGTTTACTAAACACAAAAAGGACCACGGTCACCCCCTCCTCGCCTTCACGGCCCTTGCCAGGTTTTTGCACATTTTTGCAAGCCATGGCAGCCTGTCATCCCCAGCCTGGCTGCCCTGCCTCTCTCTGAGCTACGTGGAAGGAATTATGGGGCAATTGCTTAGACCAGGGGTAGGCAACCTTGGCTCTTTTATGACTCGTGGACTTCAACTCCCAGAATTCCTGAGCCAGCATGGGGGAACTGTGGCCCCTTCATGACTTGGCGACTTCAACTCCCAGGATTCCTCAGCCAGCCTGGTTCAGCTTGGAAACCTCTCCCCTTCCCCTCAGCGTGGCTGGCTCAGGAATTCTGGGAGTTGAAGTCCACGAGTCCTAAAAGAGCCAAGGTTGCCTACCCCTGAACTAGACAGTTGTGATCGTTGTTATTATCGGTCAGCTAAGGACTTCCTAAGCCTGGTGGGTGGGAATTTAACCCCGTTCACTACTGAACACCAAGTACGGTGGAGTCCAGCTTGTGACCTTAACACACCCCAAGTGTGTCTGTTCACGTGGACTTAGCTGGAAAGGGTTTGGGGTTGACACAGGGCGAGGGGGGGTGTCTTCCTCAGTCTCTCCCCTTTCAGCTCGGTTGCCTTTCGTACTAATTGAAAAATTTCAAAGTAAAAGAGATTTGTCTCTCTTTATGCCTGCCTGCTCTCTCTCTCTCTCTCTCTCTCTCTGGGTCTCTGCTTGGTCTCTCGTGTGCTCCACGGCTGCAGGAAATAGTTCCACCAACGCTGCACGGAACGCTGAATCGCAAGAAAAATGACCTAGTTGTGTTAGGATTATTGCTCCTGCTACCACCACCAGGGCCCTCCCTACTCTGAGCAGCACCCAAAGGACCTAATAAAATATATATATAAAAAAGTGAAGAGGATATTATAGAAAGTGCAAATTAAACTTAACCTGACAGCAAAGGCCAGCTGAGCCTGCCCCCCTGTGGACATTTTTAGCTATAACACTTAGCAAAGCAGAGAAAAGGCAGCCTTTCCCAGGTCTTCTTCTTAAATTTTTCCTCTCTACTTGGAAGAATGGAATGGAATAGAATAGAATAGAACAGAACAGCAGAGTTGGAAGGGACCTTGAAGGTCATCGAGTCCAACCCCCTGCTCAGGCAGGAAACCCTATACCATTTCAGACAAATGGCTGTCCAGTCTCTTCTTAAAATCCTCCAGTGTTGGAGCATTCACCACTTCTGGAGGCAGGTTGTTCCAGTTCTAACTGTCAGGAAATTTCTCCTTAGTTCTAGGTTGCTTCTCTCTTTGGTTAGTTTCCACCCGTTGCTTCTTGTCCTGCCTTCAGGTGCTTTGGAGGATAGCTTGACTCCTTCTTCTTTGGGGCAGCCCCTGAGATATTGGAAAGGCTGCTATCATGTCCCCCCTCGTCCTTCTCTTCATTAAACTAGACATACCCAATTCCAGCAGCCGTTCCTTATATGCTTTGGTCTCCAGTCCCCTGATCATCTTTGTTGCTCTTCTCTGTACTCTTTCTAGAGTCTCAACATCTTTTTTACATCATGGTGACCAAAACTGGATGGAGTATCTCAAGTGAAGACTCAGAATGAAGACTCAAAACATCTAAGCACTTAGAAATGAAATAATATGAAAGATAAAAATACAAATTAACATTATCTCTAAAAGAGCAGGGTGGCTGGTAAAGGCCAGGGAGTCTGCCCTCTTGTGGTCACTTTTAGTCATGGCATCTAGTAAAGAGAGCCAAGGTCAGCCATTATTCTTATTACTCTTTTACAAAGAGCCCACAACTTACAACAGTTTGTTTAGTGACCGTTCGACGTTACAACAGCACTGAAAAAAAGGGACTTATGGCCGTTTTTTCACACTTATGACCCTGGCAGCATCGTGATCAAAATTCAGAAGCTTGACAACTGACTCACATTTATGACGGTCGCAGCTTCCCGGGGGTGTGTGTGTGTCACGTGATCCCCTTTTGCAACCTTCTGACAAGCCAAGTCAAGGGGGGAAGCCAGATTCGCTTAACAACCGTGTGGCTAACTTAACAAATGCGACGATTCACTTAACAACGGTGGCCAGAAAGGTCACAAACTGGGGAGAAATTCACTTAAACAAGTGTCTCACTTAGCAACAGAAACGTTGGGCTCGTGCGTAGAGGGCTGCCTGTACTACTACTAACAGCCCTTTTATTTACTACTCGGTACCTTTTAAACCCGATTTGGAATTATGATCGCATCTCCTTGCATGGAGAGTGGTGAAGGAAAAGCCTGCCCTCCTGTGGATATCTGTGGTCACTACAACCTGCGTCGACAGGCTAACACAGGGATCTTCAAACTTGGCCCTTTTATGACCTGTGGACTTCAACTCCCAGAATTCCTCAGCCAGGCACACGTTTGAAGACCCCTGGGCTAAAACAATTCAAAAATTAAAAAAAAACCAGAAATGAAATTAAAAAAAAAAAACAACAGCTGGGAAACCCCTGGATTAGGGCACGAGAGCAGCAGCAGTAGAAAAGTCATCCAGAGATTCCCTTTCAGTAGCCATTTTTTAAAAATTATTGTTTTTTTGAGCGTCCTTCATTCCCACGGACAGCCAAAGACATCTTCCAGGGACTATTGAACTAGTTCAGGGGTCTTCAAACTTGGCCCTTTTATGACCTGTGGACTTCAACTCCCAGAATTCCTCAGCGAGGCACATGTGCCTGGCTGAGGAATTCTGGGAGTTGAAGTCCACAGGTCATAAAAGGGCCAAGTTTGAAGACCCCTGATCTAGTTGCTCTGATTTTTGATCTGCACCTTCCTTTCAGTCAAGCTCAGAAAGAGCTAGAAACACAAGCAGCCTTATCAATGGAAAACAATTAATATTTAACAGCCGTGGAGTGAAAGGCTGGCCGCTACCAGTTTCCAAACTGGGAGGGGATCTAAATTCTTAAGGGGTGCGCTTGGTCAACCCTGAAAGAGACCCTTTCTTGCCGGGTGTGTCTTTGTGAATGCAACAGACTGAGCCTCCCTCTTCAGAAGCAGACTACCTTTCCTTTGCTCTGCTCTGCTCTGCTCGACCAAGCCTTGGGAGGGCCGGCGCGGGGTCCAAGTTCTCCTAAATGCAGAGAGAGAATCCTTCCTCGCAGGGCGATCAAAAAAGTGCTTCTTAACATGATCTTAACTTGCTAATGTTTTCTAAAAGAAAAGGGGGGGAAAAAACCACACTCTGTGCTGTGGGGCCAGCCCTTCCGAGCTTCACTCCCCCCCCAGACCCAACTGGACTACAAAGCCACCCTTGTCCAGGGGAGAATGGGAGCTGTGGTCAGGGACCTGCAGCGCTGACTTCACAGCTTTTGGCACAGTCGGAGACGTGGCGGCAAAGAGTAGAGCCTCCGTGTCCAGGGGCAGGATACCAGACATCAAAGAGAAAAGAATGCCGACTCTCACATCAGCTTTGGAGGTTTCCAGGAGCCCCCACCTGTCTGTCTGAGACTGACCAGCAGGGCAAAAAGACACAGACCCGTGCAAGAGGCGTCTCCCCATGTTCCCGGTCACCCCAAGGTCCACAGAGAGCATTCTGGGAATATCAAGAGGAAGAGGAAGAGGGCAGAGTTTCAGAAGGCTGATCCTTTGCTGGGGAAACCTCACATGCCTGTCCGGGAGCGGAGACCGCCTCCCAACACCAGTAGTCTTCATTGCCCTGGAGGCCTTCCCCCTCCGCAGGTCCACCCACATCGGGCCTGCCCACCACACTGGGCTCCTCCGAGGAGGTGGCGGTGCCGTCCGGAGACACCCCCTGTTTCTCCTCCTCCTCCTCCTCCTCCTCCTTCTCACTGGGGGCGGAAGACGCTGCCAGGAGCCCCCCTCGTTCTTGCAGGGCCGGCCTCGTTTTGAGCCCCACGGCCTTCAGGATGGTGTCCATCTGCTTCATGTAGTCCAGGTGACCATTCACCTGCAAGGGAAGGCAAGATCAGACCCTGCTCACCTGCAGAGTATCCCTCCCTCCCCCAGCACGGCCAGACGTCCGGGGACCTCTTAATCTGGGGGGGATCAGCAGCTCCCCAGAAGCTCAACTCGCAAAGTTAGTCCCTTCCACCCCCAGCCCCCGGCGGAAAATCAGGTAGGGCCACCTAAATGGATTCTCCTTCATTCGTCCTTCGGTACGTCGATAGATTAAATTAGGTTAAAGCTTCGCCAACACATTTCAGGCTTCTTGGGATCTGATCTGGTTGAATCTTTTTTTTCTTCTCTCCCTTTCACGACTGAAATTAAAATTAATTGAAGCACACAAGACCCTGCCCGGAAGAAATTTGTCGTGCATCTCAGCTGGATGGCTCTGAATGTGGAGGAGGGCAGTTTCCCCCTTTAAAAGCTCTTCTTGCTTGCCTCCGGAATGTAGGGATACACTACCCCTGACCTAGGTCCTAGATCTAACACATGCTGGTAAAACCCTCTTGACCATAGGCAAAGAGGAACCGGAAGCATCTTGGCATCTGGAGATCCTGACGGTTGTCCTGAAATGCCAAAAGCTTTTGGACTTCCTGGTTTCTTGATCCCTGACTTTACCAGGCAACCTGCCACTCCAGACAATTCTCCTGCCTTCTGCTGTTTTCTTTCACTTTTAGCAAGACTGGAGCGTTAATTAAAAAACCTGCCAGAAGCCCCCGTGATCTTCCGATGCCAGCTGTGACCTCAAAGGCGGCAGGGAAGCAGATGGCCTGGAAAGCAATCAAGGTTTATAAGCAGGAAATAATCCTCAGAATTATTATGAGGTATGTGGGTGGGTGGGGGGGGGGGGGAAGATAAAGGCACCACCCGGTCCTGGGCTGTGTTTGGAGGAGGATCACTGAGGCCCCACAAGGCACAAAATGTACAACATCGCCTCTTGCGACGCAGCAAATGTTTAAAAAGACATTTCAGATTCTTGTTGGCTTCTCAAAGGGAAAGAGAGAACAGATAGTTTTTATCTTAGAAAGATAGACAACCTTTATTGTCATTTTTCCCCCCCTGTGGGCACAATGGCACACATTACAGTTGCTTCCTCTCAAAGTGCACACCTACATAACACACTTAAAACATACTCTATACGACACATGTATAGACCCACACCCTTACACATAAGTGACATATAAATATTATTCACTGTCCATCTTGAATCCATAACGGAACCACTTAAAAGAAGCTTCTGGGTGAAATGTCCCATTTTTACAGCGGGGTTTCTCACTGTAAAAGGTGGGTGGGCTTCAACTCCCAGAGTTGAGGTCTCGTCGGGGAATTCTGGGACTCGAAGTCCAGGCGTCTTAAAGCCTCTCAGGCTGAGAAAACACTGCTTTATGGCTGCATTCAGACGACCTAAAAAAACCCTTGCCTCTCTTCAACCTCTCTCAAACCTTGGATTGTCCCTTTGAAAAAGCTAATACAATCCTGGGTGGTAGAAACAGAGGCATAGAATCAAGATCACGCAAAGTATTACAACAGTTTTATAAAACCCTAGTGAGACCACACCTGGAATACTGCAGCCAACTTTGGTCACCTTATCACAAAAAAGATGTTGAGAGTTTGGAAAAAATTCAGAGAAGAGCAACTAAGATGATCCAAGGCCTGGAGACTAAAACATACAAAGAACGGCTGCAGGACTTGGGAATGGCCAGTCTAGAGAAAAGAAGAAATAGGGGAGACATGATAGCAGTGTTCCAGTATCTGAGGGGCTGCCACCAGGAAGAGGGGGTCACGTTGTTCACCAAAGCATCGGAGGGAAGGATGAGAAACAATGGTTGGAAACTGATCAAAGAGAGAAGCAACCTGGAATTAAGGAGAAACTTAATCTCCTGACAGTGAGGACAATCAACCAGTGGAACAGCTTGCCTCCAGAAATCGTGGGCGCTCCATCACTGGAGGTTTTTAAGAAGAGACTGGACATTCATGGTATAGAACGATTCTCCTGCTTGAGTAGGGGGCTGGACTAGAAGACCTCCAAGGTCCCTTCCAACTCTATTCTATTCTATTCTATTCTATTCTATTCTATTCTATTCTATTCTATTCTATTCTATTCTATTCTACTCTACTCTACTCTACCCTACCCTACCCTACCCTAATCTAATCTAATCTAATCTAATTCTAAACCTCCGAACCTCGCAAGATCTCTGTAATTGCTTCCCATCAACTTACCACGGAAGACAGGTCCACGTTGACCACCCGGCGGTCATCCAGGCAGATGGGCTGAAGCCCTGCCACGCTCAGCTGAATGGACGACGTGCGGTAGACAAATTTCAACAGCCAGTCTCCCCTGGAGGAGGAAGAACAAGAGAGGGAGGAATGGGGCTGGGATTCACGTGTCAGCTGGAGTCTGGGGAACATCTGTGGGAGGTGGGGATGAAGTCTAACATCGGAAAGGCTGCCAGGCAAACACCAGAGCCCAGCACAGGTCGAGATGTAATCCCCAGCGATGGCAACAGAGCGCAGAGGCCACGGTTCTCTCTCAGTTCACCCAAAACTGGCCAGAAATGAGATTTAAATCCCAGAGCCTTCCTGATTCTACTTTGCCAATTGTTGGCAAACACGTTAAGCGTCGCTGTGCATGAAGTTCCGATACTTTGGGATATAGTTTAGTCAGGGAAGGGGGGAGGAAACTAAATTTAGATTAGATCAGAATAGATGAGAATAGATGAATAGAATAGAATAGAATAGAATATGGAATGGAATGGAATAAGAATAGAATAGAATAGAATAGAATAGAATAGAATAGAATAGAATAGAAGCAACCTAGAACTAAGGAGAAACTTCCTGACAGTGAGAACAATTAACCAGTGGAACTACCTGCCTCCAGAAGCGGTGAATGCTCCAACACGGGAAGTTTTGAAGAAGAGACTGGACAGCCATTTGTCTGAAATGGTATAGGGTTTCCTGCCTGAGCAGGGGGTTGGACTAGATGACCTCGAAGGTCCCTTACAACTTTATCATTATTAGAATAGAATAGAATAGAATAGAATAGAGTTGGAAGGGACCTTGGAGGTCTTCTAGTCCAACCCCCTGCTCAGGCAAAACTCTATACCAGGGGTCCCCAATCTGTGGGCTGCAGCCTGGTAGTGGGCCATGGCCTGGTGACCACTGGTCAGGTTGGCCAGTGCGCGCACGGGTGCATGCACACACACCACTCACACTAGCGACACAGCCGCGGTGTGTGAAAACGGTGCTGCGCCTCGGGGCATGAAAATGGGATATCACCACACTGCGGGGTGCGAAAATAGGCCACTGCCACACCTCAGGACACAAAAACAGGACACCGCCATGCCTCAGGGCACAGAAACGAGGTGCTGCACAACGCAAGAATGGGGCAGGGCTAGTGAGTATCACGAAGGCACTAGCCCCTCCGTTTGGGTCGTGTGCATGCTCGCAGCCTCGTGAACGCGCACACATGTAAAATGCTTCCTCCCTCTCTTTCCCTCCAGTCCGTCAACCGAGAAAGGTTGGTGACCTTTGCCCTACACCATTTCGGACAAATGGCTGTCCAGTCTCTTCTTAAAAACTTCCAGTGTTGGAGCATTCACCGCTTCTGGAGGCAGATTGTTCCACTGGTTAATTGTTCTCACGGTCAGGAAATTGATTCTTATAGGTTGCTTCTCTCTTTGATTAGTTTCCACCCGTCGCTTCTTGTTTTAATCTTGCCAAGAATAAACTTCCCAAATTTAACCTTCCCAAGATTAAATCCTGGCAACACTAGTTTAAAGGAGTCTGTGGCTCTTTCTTGGAAGAGAGCTGAAGTCACAGTGGAGGGGGCCAAGAAAATCAGAAAACTTCCTCCAAGAAAGAAAGAAAGAAAGTAAGAAAGGAAGGAAGGAAGGAAGGAAGGAAGGAAGGAAGGAAGGAAGGAAGGAAGGAAGGAAGGAAGGAAAGATCACAATTGTTGTGTATGCGCCACAGTTAGGACCAACAATACCTGCAGAAGCCGTTGATGATCTTGCCTGAAATGACTTTGGTGATCAGCTTCCAGGGTTTGGGATCTCCTTCTATCGGGGCCCCCAGCAGCACCACGTCTTCAATGATCCCTTCGCAGTCTGAAAGAGAGCCACCCGAGATCAGCCCGGTGGCATCGCCGAAGGGACCCGGTGAGCCTCAGATCCCCTGCAGTGATCCAGCCCTGCCCCTTCGGAGGGAGGCTGAAGTCTAAACCACTAGAAAAGTGGGATCCCCTTCTCCTCTCTCTGTGGCCCTTGCTTGGGAAGACAGCCCCCTGATTGATCGATGCACTGGGCTGAGATGGGATCAGCTGCGTTAAAGTGGATCTGTCGTATTCTTTTCCCTGTCTCTACTACAGTGACCCAGCTGAAGAAAACCGCGGAGACAACTAAAAAGAAAGTCCCATAAAATAAGCTTGCCGGATGCCGTAAGGCAGAACCCGAATCCTGGCTGTGTGGGATCTTAAAACAACTGACCTCTCCTGTAGCCTACATTTATTTAGTGGGGCTGTTTTGTTCATGTTTGCTCTTTGGTTATCATTTTTCATTTGCTGTGCTTAGCTTCCTGCCTGGCTGGAGGAGGCTTCTGTCTTAAGAATACCAGAATGACAGAGTTGGAAGGGACCTTGGGAGTCATCTAGTCCAACCCCCTGCTCAAGCAGGAGACCCTAAACCAATTCAAACAAATGGTTCTTAAAAACTTCCAGTGTTGGAGCGTTCACCACTTCTGGAGGCAGGTTGTTCCACTGGTTAATTGTTCTCACTGTCAGGAAGTTTCTCCTTAGTTCTAGGTTGCTTCTCTCCTTGATGAGTTTCCATCCGTTGCTTCTTCTCCTGCCTTCAGGCGCTTTGGAGAATAGCTTGACTCCCTCTTCTTTGGGGCAGCCCCTGAGATACTGGAACACTGCTATCCTGTCCCCCCTCATCCTTCTCTTCGTTAAACTAGACATACCCAATTCCAGCAACTGTTCCTTATATGCTTTGGCCTCCAGTCCCCTAATCATCTTTGTTGCTCTTCTCTGTACTCTTTCTAGAGTCTCAACATCTTTTTTTACATCATGTATTTCAAGTGTGGCCTTACCAAGGCCTTGTAAAGTGGTATTAACACTTCACGTGAAAGACGGGCCATTAAAATAGAACTCCGAGATTCAACCCAGAGTTGGCAGACACAAGCTGCAAATTAATTATCCTGGAATCACAACAAGCTGCCGATTAATTTATGCTGGAATCGTGACGGTGACTGTTGGGATGGAAAAGCCCCCCCTCCCTTTCTCTCACGGGCTGCAGACAACAGAGAAGTGGCTACCAAGGCAACAATCCGGGGTTAGAAACCCAAAAAATGCAGAAGCCAAATATCCTCTCTCTCTCTCTCATTCTCTCTGTCTTTCTTTCTCTCTCTCTCATTCTCTCTCTCTCTCTCTCCCAGGGCATCCAGCATCTCTAAAGCAATTGTAAGGACTTAATTCTTCCCCATGGAAAGGGGGGGGGGGGAGGAAGGCATCGTTAACACCCAGATCCCAGTCTGTAAGGATGACAGATAGTGGATCAAGAATGGGGATTCCCCCCCCCCAGGAAAAAAAGGACAGGCTGGAGAGGAAATTCTTAGGATGTGCAAAAAACAGTTCCTGGGGAGAGATCTGAGCTTAGGAAGCTGAAATTGCTTTGATCTGCAGGACCGAGAGGTGGCAGGGGGTCAGCTTCAGAGCAGGAACCCCAAAACAGGAGTGTGTGTGTGTGTGAGAGAGAGAGTGTGTGAGTGAGTGTGTAGCCTGTCCTACCTTTCTCCTTGGCCATCTCCTGCAGGCAAAAGTAGATCACCCTAGCACCGAGACTGAATCCGACCAGCGTCACCGGCCGTTTGCCCTAGAAGAGGACAGAAGAAAAAGGAAGACTTACAAAGCATCTTGTTTTGTTTTTCAACCAGAATAGAGCTGGAAGGGACCTTGGAGGTCTTCTAGTCCAACCCCCTGTTCAAGCAGGACAGCCTGTACCATCCCAGACAAGTGGCTGTCCAGTCTTTTCTCAAAAACCTCCAGTGATGGAGCACCCATAACTTCTGAAGGCAACTTCTGTTCCATGTGGATACGCCTTCAAAGAAACCCAGTCAAGAGATGCTTCTCAAACTTGCCCACTTTAAGATGGGGAGACTTCAACTCCTAGAATTCCCCAGCCAGTAATTCCGGGAGTTGAAGTCTCCCCCCCCATCTTAAAACGGCGAAGGTTGAGAAACACTGCTATAAGGTTTACACCAGGGTTGTGTGTGTGTGTGTGTGGGGGGGAACAAACTTTCTTCAGCCTACCTGCCGCCGGCTAAGAAGTATCTGTGCCAAGTGTTTCCCGACCTCAGCGGAGCGATGGAGACACACACCCCAGGGGTTGTCTATCACACCAGCCACTGCCAGCAGCGAAGCAGGCCAGGTGAGGGCCGTCACGATCCCTGGGAGGAGGCAGAGCAAAGGGAATGGGTGACAATCAGAAAAACATCTGGAGGACCTGATGTAGCCCTGTGAAGTGTGGGGCTACAGCTGCCATCCTGCCCAGAGGGCTAAGCCTATTGTGTGTGGGGGGGGGGCAAGGGCCACTGTGCCCTCTCCTTTTAGCAATGGAAATGTAAAGTAGAACCAGCTTCATCCTCGGACAGGGGGGTAGCAACAGCACTTAGACTTATATACCGCTTCACAGGGCTTCACAGCCCTCTCTAAGGGGTTTACAGAGTTACCATTTTGCCCCCCAACAATCTGTGTCCTCATTTTACCGACCTCGGAAGGATGGAAGGATCCGAGTCAACCATGAACCGATCGGGATCGAACTGCCGAACTGCAGGCAGTCGGCAGAAGTAGCCTGCAGTACCGCCTCCTAACCACTGGGCCACCACAACTCAGTGACGCCAAGAGAACTACCTAGATCAGAGGCCACCAACCTTTCTCGATTGGCGGACCGGAGGGAAAGGGAAGGGGAAGCATTTTAAATGTGTGCGTGGGTGCACGGGGCCGCAAGCACACGTGTGACGCAAATGGGGCGGGGCTAGCGCTTGCGTGATACTCACTAGCCCTTCCCCGTTCTTGCATGGCACAGTGCCCCGTTTCAGCATCCAGTGCCCCGTTTCAGCATCCCCGCAGTGGGGTGTCTGCGCACACTGGCCAGCCTCTCCCACAGCCCAGTGGCCAGCAGCCCACGGCCCACTACCGGGCCACAGTCCACAGGTTGGGGACCCCTGACCTAGACAGGCTGGTAAAGTCACAGAACCTAGAATAACCAAATTGGAAGGGACCTCGGAGGTCTTCTAGTCCAACCCCCTGCTTCAGCAGGGAGACCCTGGCCTAGACCATATCAGTCAAATCCCCCAAGCTGAGCTCGGCTGGAAAGAGCCGTGTTGTTTTTTTTCCACCCCAAAGTAAGGCCATGTCAAGATTGAACGGCTACGATGCCTGCTAGCCTCTATCGCTAATCAACGTGCCATAGAAAAAGGGGGGGAGGGGTAGAAAGCGAAGGGAGGATACGGAATGCCACGATGCCATTCATGGGCCACAAGAGCCTGCTTCACGCCAAGGCCATTGCTGCAGGTGCTGGATGGAGAAGGGAGCTGTTCCCATAACAAAAAGGAATATTATCGGAAAATGTGAATACTTGGGGGGGAAGGGGGGCTTGGATATCTATTGTTTAACTTTGCAAGCTTTGCACGGGAACTCCAGAGCTGGTTTTGCTTCTTTCGTTCTGAAACGCTGGACCCAATAAAGTTTTGGAGACTGCTTGGAGACTGAATTGCCTTAAGGCAGGGGGAGGCAACCTTGGCTCTTTTATGACTTGTGGACTTCAACTCCCAGAATTCCTGAGCCAGCATGGCTCAGCTTGGAAACCTCTCCCTTTCTCCTCAGCGTGGCTGGCTCGGGAATTCTGGGAGTTGAAGTCCACGAGTCCTAAAAGAGCCCAGGTTGCCCACCCCTGCCTTAAGGGAATCCTTCGGTTGGGTCTGCTCATCGGGACTTCTGACGGGCCGCCAAGCCCCTCACTCACCCGCCAAGACCGTGTACTTGAGGGCCTCCTGGGCGACCATGTTAACCAGCCCATTCCACAAGGCGTCCAGGGCGCTGCCCAGCTCCAGCAGGTACTTGGACTCCCAGGCTAAGCAGTACTGCTCCTTGGACTGTAAGAGGCTGCTCCAGGGGGCTGTGAAACTGCCTGTTGAGGGACAAAGGACGGAGACGAAGGGGTGAGGACAGGGTGCGAAGGAGGCCTCCCACAACCGAGTCTCAGGGGTTGTTCCTGGTCCTCTGAGGGCAGAGGGGCAGAGCCTTGAGAGAGCCAGCCCGAGTCCTCGAGATGTGGCAGGCCAAAGCATTCTTAACATTATAGCAAAAGCACTTAGACTTATATACCGCTTCAGAGGGCTTTTACAGCCCTCTCTGAGCTGTTTACAGAGTCAGCCTCTTGCCCCCCAACAATCTGGGAACTTTAACGACCTCGGAAGGGTGGAAGGTTGACTCAACTTTGAGCCGGTCAGGATCGAACTCCTGGCAGTGGGCAGAGTCAGCCTGCACTGCTGCATTCGAACCCTTGGGCCACCGCGGCTCTTAATGCAACATCCAATCAGCTACAGCAATAGCAATAGCACTTAAAGACTTATATACCGCTTCACAGTGCTTTACAACCCTCTTTAAGTGGTTTACAGAGTCAACATATTTGCCCCCAACTATCTGGGTCTTCATTCTGCCGACCTCGGAAGGATGGAAGGCTGAGTCAACCTTGAGCCGGTCAGGATCAAAGTGCTGGGTGTGGGCAGAGTCAGCTTGCAATGCTGCATTCTAACCACTGGAAGGGAAGGGAAGGGAAGGGAAGGGAGAAAGGAAGGGAAGGAGGGAGGGAGGAAGGAAGGAAGGAAGATAGCAATAGCACTCAGACTTATATACCGCTTCCCAGGGCTGTACAGCCCTCTCTAAGCGGTTTACAGAGTCAGCATATTTGCCCCCAACAATCTGGGTCCTCATTCTGCTGACCTCGGAAGGACGGAAGGCTGAGTCAACCTTGAGCCGGTCAGGATCGAACTGCCAAACTGCAGGCAGTGGGCAGTCAGCAGAATCAGCCTGCAGTGCTGCATTCTAACCACCAGGGCTCCTTGACTGATGCAGCAGTCCAGAGGAGCATAAGCAGAAGGGTGTTTGGGGGGGGGAGGAGAGTGAGGAAATCACTGAGGGAGGGAACAAATTCTTGCGACGGGGAGACAGAATCCAGTACAGGGAGTCCTCCACTTACGACCACAATCGAGCCCAAAATTTCTCTGGCTAAGCGAGACATCTGTTCAGTAGAGTTTGCCCCATTTTACGGCCTTTCTGACCGCAGCTGTTAAGTGAATCACTGCAGCTGCTAAGTCAGGAACAACGGTTGTTAAACGAATCTGGCTTCCCCACTGACTTTGCTTGTCGCAAAAGGGGATCGCGTGACCCTCCCCCCGGAGACCCTGCAACCATCATCAATACGGCGGTTCCAGCGGTTTATCCATCGTTACGGTGGTTTAACCATCACCAATATGACGGTTACCACTTGCCAAGGGCCTGAATTTTGAGCGCCTGGCCAGGGGGACGCTGCAACAGCCGTGTGAAAAAGGGTCGTCGTTCACTTTTTTCAGCGCTGTTGTAACTTGGAGAATGATCACTAAATGGACTGTTGTAAGGCGAGGACGACCTGGACCTCTGGAGGAGACACGTGTTCACTAGAGCAGAGGCCCCCAACCTTGTGGGCACCAGGGACCAGTTCCGTGGAGAGAGGTTTTTCCGCGGACAGGAGGGTGCGTGGTTTCGCATGCTGCCTGCATCCCGCGGATGGGGCTTTGCTTGTTTGTGCGGACCGGTTGCTGGCGTGCCGTGGCCCGCTACCGGTCCACAGACCGGGGGTTGGGGACCCCTGCACTAGAGGGTTCAAATCTCTCTCCTGGGATAAGACTCCAATCAAGGAGGAGGAGAAGGAGGAGAATTCCTCAGGAGAGGCAGCTTCCCCAGCTCCAGGTCAACCCTGGGGCGGAGGGAATGACCGCTGTCCTCCTTCTGCCCTGTCTTTGACATGATTCCCTCTCCAAGGCCAGACCCCGAGGCCGTTCGCATCTTCGTGTCTCACCCAGGAGAGAACTGCCTGCACGTCAGGAGGCATTGACCTCAGAACAGGGAAACCAAAGGGTGTGAAAGTTAAAAACAGAAACGCTTGTAAAAAACAAAAACAAAGGTGGATCGTTTTATGGCCGAGTGTGTTATAGAGCAGCGGGTGAGGTCGGGCGAGGAAAACAACACGCAGCAAAACAGGGAAAATCGAATTGGCTACCCAGGGCCCGGCTGCCATTTGGAGGGCAAGGAGCTTGTCAGGTCTGCCACCTTCGGCCTGGCACCTCGCTCGCATCCTGCCCTCAAAGGCTGGGGTGGAGGGAGCATGGGAGGGGGATGAACAAATGGGCCACAAACTTGTGTGTCAGTATAGGTAGTCCTCGCCGTAACAACCGGGTTACCAATTTAACAATGGCGGGGAGAAACGTCGTAAAATAGGGTAAAACTCACTTATCAAATGTCTTCCTTAGCAACATAAATTTTGGGCTCAACTGTAAGTTGAGGACTACCTATGTGTGTTGGGAAATGGGGGGGAGGGGGGAAAGGACAGCTTGACAAAGAACAAAGAAGTTCAGAATCCACTTGTGCCAGCACTTACGGCCGTGCACCCTGAGAAGGGATGTGGATCGCCCCAAATATCTCGGTGAATCTAAGTGAATCTTCATTGGCTGAAGACAGACTGGCCATGGGGATGAGGGGAAGCCTTTTGTATCCTTTTAGCGTGGGAAACTTAGTTCTAGCCTGACTTTCCTGCAGCTAGCAATCTCTCGTAAAAGAACCAGACTTAGTTTTAGCCTGACTTTACATCTCTAGTTAAAGAACCAAACTTAGTTCCAGCCTGACATTCCTGCAGCCAGCAATCTCTATTAAAAGGATCAACCACTTCAACCAAATGGAGTCGAGGGTCTTTGTTTCCTAAGGGATCGGACTGGGGCAGGTCTGACAGAGCTAAGAATATTCAGAACTGCAGAAATATTTAGAAACTTGGAAAACTTTTCTCAACGTAAAACAGCCCCATATCCACCAACGGTGAGCAGGACAAGGAGATATTTAAAAATAAAAATAAAATTGGCCGTGTTTTGATATCCACCGTGTTTTGGCCTGCAGATGGGAGAGCTCTTACCGTACTTCCCAGCAGAAAGCCAGCCGGTGATGGCAATGGTGATATGGAGCTGCTTCGCTTCGGTTAAGGGAAGGAATTCGAATTCTTCTATGGCCCCTACGCGCTTTTTCATCTTGTACCCTAACGGAGCGAACGTGCACACAAATATACAGTTAATATAGTACATTTTTTGGACTCTTCAAAATACAGGCTGTGGTTTGTCACAGCCTTCTCCAAACCAGTAATTTGGGACCACAACCACACATATAAAAAAACCCCTTACGGTGGACCAGAAGCCACTGTGGCATTTTTGTGCATGAAATACAATCAATAGACTGTCAACAGAGGGTTGTGGAGTTTAATTTAGCTGTTGGTTTAACTTGTTAACTATGTTCTCTTCTAGATCAGGGGTAGGCAACCTTGGCTCTTTGATGACTCATGGACTTCAACTCCCAGAATTCCTCAGCCAGCCTCCATTTTGTTTGTTAGATTTAAGACAGGGGTCTTCAAACTTGGCTCTTTTATGACTCGTGGACTTCAACTCCCAGAATTCCTGAGCCAGCCATGCTGAGGGGAAAGGGAGAGGTTTCCAAGCTGAGCCATGCTGGCTGAGGAATTCTGGGAGTTGAAGTCCACAAGTCATAAAAGGTTGCCTACCCCTGAGACAGATGATGTCAAGCTAAGTGGGTTAGGATAGTGGTATAAGTGAGTTGGTATAGTATTCTAGAAATATATAAATTGTGAGCCTGCTTTGTAAGGGGGAGGAATTCTTAATTCTGAAGTATATTTATTAATATTCAACTAGGGGGGGACAATTTATGTATATGACCGTTTTGTTTTGTTTTTCACTTTATGCTCTCTTTTTTGTGTAGCCTTGTTTAGCTGTGCTTTCATTTTGTATTTTTTTGGGGGGGGAGGCTGGATTTGTATTTTAATGTTTTGAATAAAAATAAAAAAACTGAGGAATTAAAAAAAATAATCCACATACACACCACAGAACATCTGCATCGCTACAACAGCAAGAAAGTGGACTGGAAGTGGACTTTGGATAGCCAAGCTCTTATTCAAGATCACAAACGTTGTTTAACTAAAATCAGAGACTGGGAACTGGATCGCTAGTTTTTCGCCCCGTTGAACTAAACGGGCTTGAAAAGCAAATTCCAAGCTGAAACCAGCACGGGGGTGTGTGTGTGTGTGTGTCACCCATGCTGAGAAAAGAGAAGCTAGCCTTTTACCAGCCACCTGTCTCCTAGATGAACGCACAGCTTGATCCTGGCTTAGCAAACCAGAACAAGAGCAATATCAGTGAGGATCTTGGTTAAAAAGAAAAAGATGATTTTAAATCTTTATTAGACAGTGGAGGGACGGGAGTATTTCTCCTCCAAGCTGCAAATCATGGTTTACATTAGTGGATTTCTATACCTCGCACCCTTAGAACGCTTCTGATATATTCTCGCGCCCCTTACAAAAGTTCGAAATAACAGCAACAAATGATGCATATACACTACAATTTTGAAAACCCAAGTTTTCACACCCCCTGGAATATCGTCTCGCACCCCTGGTTGGGAACCCCTGGTTTACATCTAACCTGGATGCTGTCTGGTAGGAACTAGATCGGGGTGGGGTGGGGTATCAATTCCAACCGATCACTGAATGTGGGGTTTGGGGCAGGCACCTTTCCCTCACATGCAGATGCCGACAATCAAAGCTGTGAGATTTGTAATTGGCTGACAACCACACTTAACATATAGGTCCTCAATGGAGCTGTATGCAGTGGGGTGCCCCAGGGCTAGGCCCAGTGCTCTTCAACATCTTCATCAATGATTTGGATGAGGGGATAGTTGGGGAAGTCATCAAATTTGCAGATGACAGGAATAGCCAACTGTCTAGTTGTATGTTAAATGTCTAGTTTAATGAAGAGAAGGACGAGGGGTGACAAGATAACAGTCTTCCAATATTTGAGGGGATGCCCCAAAGAAGAGGGAGTCAAGCTATTCTCCAAAGCGCCTGAAGGCAGGACAAGAAGCAACGGATGGAAACTCACCAAGGAGAGAAGCAACCTGGAACTAAGGAGAAACTTCCTGACAGTGAGAACAATTAGTCAGTGGAACAACCTGCCTCCAGAAGCGGTGAATGCTCCAACACTGGAGGCTTTTAAGAAGAGACTGGACAACCCTTGGTCTGAAATAGTATAGGATTTCCTGCCTGAGCAGGGGGTTGGACTAGATGACCTCCAAGGTCCCTTCCAACTCTGTTGTTCTGTTGTATGTAACTTCTGCACAGTTAACACCAGGGCTGTTTTCCTCCTCATCCCGAGAGCCTTACCCACGAGTCCGGCCCCAGCAGCTCCAAAGAGCGAACCGATAATGGCCATCCCAGCTGCTGACCCCAAGGCCGTGGCTCCAGCAGTTCCGATGATGGTGGCTGCTCCCATGCCCACCAAGGGGGCAGCCAGACCCCCGGTCAGGCCTAAACAGAAAACAACAGGATTCTTTTGATTCAGCGAAGCATAGTGATCAGGAAAGATGTTTTGGCCAAAAAAAAAAGGGCTAAAGTGAGAATTAAGAAATTAGGTCAGGGGTCTTCAAACTTGGCCCTTTTATGACTTGTGGACTTCAACTCCCAGAATTCCTTACTGACCGTTCAAAGTTATAATGGCACTGAAAAAAGGGACTTAGGACCGTTTCCCCCACTTAACGACCGACCGTTGCAGCATCCCCAATGGCCACGTGATCAAAAGTCAGATGCTTGGCAACTGGCATGTACTCGTGACAGTTGCAGTGTCCCGGGGGGGAATAAAATCACGCGATCCCTTTTTGTGACCTTCTGACAAGCAACGTCAGTGGGGGATGCCAGATTCACTTAACCACCTTGTTACTGACTTAACACCTGCAGGGATTCGCTTAACGACGGTGGCAAGGATGGTCGTAAAATGAGGCAAGCCTTACTTAATAACGGCCTGACTTAGCGACAGACATTTTGGGCTCCATTGTGGTCGTAATTTGAGGGTGACCTGCCCATGTCTCATCACCCTAATTGCTGGGGAACGGTGAGGCTGGGATCTGCCGTTCAAAGGGGGGGGAGGAAGGAGAGAACGAAGGTCCTGCTTACCGATGACCGTCCCTCCTCCTACCGTCGCCAAGCCGATCAGCAGGTAGCGCTTCAGCCTCTTCCTTCTCTCCTTCTTCTTCCGCTTGCCTTCGTCCGTTCTTTGGGGGGGGCGGGGGAGAGAAGAAAGAAGAATGACTTTCTTCCCTAATAGCAAACAGACCATATCGTAAGATCCCGTCTCAGCTCTTCTCCCCAAGAAAGCAAAACGCTCAAAACAGAGAGTTCCAAAAGGATCTTTTTACTGACGGAAAGTGATTGCAGGGAAGCGAGGCGGCATCTGAAGTTCCCGTGCAAAAGCATTCAGCTAAAAGCCCCGTTTCCCCAGCCCCACCCCAATGGCCCGGTCCGTCAGGAGCCCATCCGCTGGCGCAAAGGTGCGGTGGGAACTTCAAGCCGAAAAAAGGTGAGAACTGGAGGGGGGGGTATGTGTTTCTCTGGCGCCTCGTCCTTGCTCGCCGGCAGGAGTTAACCCAGATGCTCCCCATTTCCCATGCAGATGTGTCAAAGCCGTCAAAGAGAAAGCAGATACAATTCAGGAACGTCTTCAATCCACATTCTTCCCCTCCCGTTCCGAATGGTGGCGTTCCCAGAGGGACCCGACACCATGAAATTAACTGCTTCCTATAGCTCGGCCGCAAATACAAACACACTTTTCAACCAGACAGCTAGTTGAAGTTATAACTGCCAAAACATCTTAGGGAAATATTCACGCGAGCGAGATTTGAACAGCTGGACACAAGGGTCAAATATGGGAGATTCCACTCTTATACCCTATAATGGACATCTCTGCATCTGCGGAGGGACAAAGGTCAAGGACCTGGCTCACGTCCTATTTGACTGCCGCCTATATAAGAGGGTGAGAGACAGGTACCTGGGCCTATGCACTAAATGAACGACCCATTGGGACCCCCATATAAAAAAAAATATCTTGAAAATTACATTTAACACAGCACAGTACCTGAGCAAAACGGTTCAGCTGAGATCGGCATAGGTGAGACTGATTGGGGTAGATTGTAGGGTGGGATAGTGAAAAATCACTTTATCCTATTTTATCTATCTGCATCTTAAATTGCTGTGTCTGATTCTAATTTCGTTTTAAAAATGTGTTTTATCCCCATTTCATTTTAAATTATATTTTATTTCTATTTTATCCTAAATTGTATTTTAACCAAATTGCTTTTACTGCATTTTTAGTATAGTGTGCATTTGGAACTCCCGCGCCTTGATATGGCCCAGGGGCTAATCAATAAAGTAATTAGTTAATTAATATAGCTCAGCCAGACCCAAAAGGGTTTTGTCTTTCGGTTCACAAAATGGACACATCAGAAATGGACGTCTGATACACAAAAGCAACTTACCTGTTGGATAGCACCTATTTCCTAAGCGGCTTGTAGGACAAAAAACAGCAAATATGAAAATTACACAAGTCAGGCAGTTCATGCATTGCAGGACAACGGGTTACGATGGATTTAGTTCACCCCCAGTGTTATTTAAATAAGTACTAATTTCAATAAGACAAAAGCTGGAAAGGCTCAAAGGAGGTTAAATGGTTACAAAAGCCAGAGATAATTCCCCGCTTTTTGGGAAAAATCCTGCCAGGTAAATTAGCTTTTTCCCCCTCCTCTGGGGTTGCAGGTAGCTTTTAAATAAAACAGAGAAAGGAGGGATTAAAATACGGAGCTGTTTTAATTGTTTTTTCGTAAAAAGGAATGGCCAGGTTGAAGATGTTTTTGACTGCATTTGCTTAGGTACCTCAGCTCTTGGTGAAAAAAAATATTTTCAACCGGAAGCAGCTATGTTTCTTTTCAATTTTCTTGGGAAGAACGAGCTTTGAAACCCCGGAGAAAGGAAAGAAAAAAGGGCACAAGGGAGAATGCCACCTTTTGCCCTTGAGATTTGAGTTCCCGTTTTAACTTTTTGAAAAGCAGCCGCACTTTTATCTGCCCTGATTAAAATACAGCCCTATCTGCAGAAACCAAATATTTAAAACACACGCGTATTTTTTTCCCCCCCTTTGGTGGCTGCGCCTGGTGAAAAATCGCAAAGGTCTGGGAGAAACATACTCCGATTCCGCCTCTTTCTCCTCCTTCAGACATTCAAGGAGATAGTCCTCTGCCTCTTCCAGTTCTGCCAACGGGATCCTCAGCAAACAGGCCACGTGGGAGAGAAGCACCCGCATGCGAGCGTCGTAGTAGCCTAGACGAGCAGGGCAGGAGGAGGGAGCGTGTCAGATCTGCCAGCTTCGGCTTGATGCTTCGCTGGCATTCTGCTACCAGTCTTTGGAGAGGGGTGAAGGAGAGGAAACGGGCAACTGGCATGTAAGGGGTAGGGAGGAGGGAATGACAGGCTTAATGGAAACCCGAGGTGCGAGGACCAGCTTGTTCCAGTCTTCAAGGACACGGAGCCTGAGAAAGGAGTGCGAATTGCACCACACACCTAAGCGGTTCCCAAAACACCTCTACGGCACACTGTTGGGTCAAAGATGGGCTGGTCAGGAGGAAGCAGAAAAGTTTGCGCGGAAACTTTAGTTCTAGCCTGCTTTTGCTGAAACCTCTAATCCCGGGGTCCCCAACCCCCAGTCCGTGGACCGGTAACGGGCTGTGGCATGCCAGCAACTGGTCCGCACAAACAAGCTAAAGCCCCATCTGCGAGATGCAGGCAGCATACAAAACCACGCAACCTCTGGTTCGTGGAAAAACCTCTCTCCACGGAACGGGTCCCTGGTGCCCAAAAGGTTGGGGACCTCTGCACTAATCCTTAGTACAAGAACCTATCACAAATGGAGTCAAGGGTCATTCTTTCCTAGAAATCTAGCTGGGGCATTCTTTCCTAGAAATCTAGCTGACAGAGCATTTAAGAAGCTAGTCCACACCGACGTGCGTCCTGTCCTTGAATGGAGGAAGGAGAAAACTTGCTAAAATCTCCGGCCGACGGTCTGGTCCCCCCAAAATCGGTCCTTAGGCGAGATGTTTTGCTTTTGTCTCCCTGAAGAGCTAATAAAAAAAATAACCGGAGGGAGAAAGGGAAAAAACCAAAAAAATAAAATAAAAACAGGCCGTCAAAATCACTTACCATCCTTGAGAGAAAAGGAAACCAGGTCCTAAAACAGAAACAGGTGGGAGAAAACGATCAGGATTTTTTTTAAAAAAAAAAAAAAAGACACAAAGGCATTCCCCCCAAAAGTCTGAAATTTGGGTCCATTGGCAAGAAAGCAGCCCCCGTTCCCCCACTCTTGAAACCAAGAAGGAAAAAAGGTTTGGAGAAGATGGATAGATAATATTGAGAAGAAATAGGGGACCAAAAAGTTCCATTTGGTTTTTGAGTGAATTTTAGAGTATTATTGTTTTTTATACAGTTTATTTATCCTTATTTTTAATTATTAATATGATATTATTATTATTATTGTGTCTAATCTTAATATATTTTATGTTAAAAAGAGAGTTAAAGGATTTTACAGATTTGTTATTCTAATAATTGATTAATGTTAGTTAGAATATGATTATCCTATTGTTAACCCTGTGATTAGCTCTGGGAAGTGGGGAGGGGGAGGGACGGGGGGAGGGGGAGGGAGGGTTTTGGAGAGGGGGGCAATTATATTGTAAATCTTTTATAAAACTTTTAATAAAAAAAAAAAAGAAGAAGGAAAAAAGGTTAAGGTTTCTCCATTCTCAGAGGGGCTCTGTTTCTGGGGAGCAAAATGAAGAGGAGGGCGCCGCGTCCCGCAGTGTCTTTCAAAAGAGTGTCGCACGAGGTTTAAATCCAGAAAGGGCCAACAGGAAAAGGCTTCCGACTCACCAGCATGATGGCGCCGGGCTGATCCTTCAGAAGCGTCTCGCCCAGAAGAATCCGAGCGAAGGTCTCTGTCCCTTCAGCCCCCAGCCCCCCAGCAAAGGCCAGCATGGAGGGCATCACCGCCTCCGACAGCTCCAGCCACCGGACCAGGTTCTCCACCACTCCGGTCCTGTAGGCACTGCGGAAAGAAGGAACCAGTCCCGGCATGGCCTCGTTCTGTCCCAGCCTACGTACGTCCTTGTTACTTCACAAAGACAACCCCTCTTTGAACAGTAGACTGGAAAACAAACCCTTTTTATTTGAGTTACAGACCTGATAATTGTCCCAGAAAAACAAAAGCAACAGAACGCTTTTCCAATGGAGACCTTGTCCAAAAGCAAAAATGGAGCACAGGTCAAACAGGAAATAACTCACAGGCAAAACAGACAGACCATGATCTCTTGACACTGAAGTTCTTTGCAACCAGCCCTGCCCACACATTCCCATTTTGTTACGCAGCCCCCCAAGGCGTGGCTTCTCACTGCTTTCTCCTCCTACCCTGGAGTTGCCCCATTGCCTCCCTCTGTCCTACTCGTGTGACCTGTCTACGTTTATGAGCGTCTCTGAGGTCTTCCAGCTGTGCTTCCTCCGAGTCCGACTCAGCTTCCCAGCACAGCTGGCTCTCAGCTGGATCACCAGTGGAGGGGCCAGGCTCTTCATCAGATTGTAAATCCTGGAGGTCATCAGAGCCTCCCTCCGACTCTGATGGCTCTCCAGGCCCCTCCTCCTCCTCCTCTGATTCCCCAGACCAGGATCACAGGCTGGCACGGAATCACAACAGGCGTATTACACACACAGCCCCGTTCATGCTCACATGTGTATGCTCGTCAGTCTGGAAAGGGTAGCGTTGCTTCGGGGAACAAAAAAGCTATCCAGACGGTCCTTGACTTACCACAGTCCATTCAGTGGCTGTTCAGTTACGACGGCACTGGAAAAAAAGGGACTTGGGACCCTTTTTCACACTCATGACGATGGCCGCATCCCCACGGTCACCTCATCATCAAAATCCAGACATTCGGCAACTGACCCATATTTACAGACAGTGGTGGGGTCCATGTGTCACTTTTGCAGCCTTCTGACACACACAGTCAGTGTGTTGCTAACTTAAGAACTGCAGAGATTCACTTCACAATTGTGGCGAGAAAAGCCGTAAAACAGGGCAAACCTCACTTCACAACTGTTTAGCCCAGCGACAGAAATGAAGAGAAGGACGAGGGGGGACATGAGAGCAGTGTTCCAGTATCTCAGGGGCTGCCCCAAAGAAGAGGGAGTCAAGCTATTCTCCAAAGTGCCTGAGGGCAGGACAAGAAGCAACGGATGGAAACTAATCAAGGAGAGAAGCAACCTGGAACTAAGGAGAAACTTCCTGACAGTGAGAACAATTAACCAGTGGAACAACCTGCCTCCAGAAGCTCTGAATGCTCCAACACTGGAGGTTTTGAAGAAGAGACTGGACAGCCATTTGTCTGAAATGGTATAGGGTTTCCTGCCTGAGCAGGGGGTTGGACTAGATGACCTCCAAGGTCCCTTCCAACTTTATTATTATTATTATTATTATTGTTGTTGTTGTTGTTGTTGTTATTATTGTTGTTGGACTTAATTGCAGTCGTGAGCCGAGGATTACCTGTACAGGTATATAAATTAGGAGCCAGCCTATCCACCTGTCCTTATCCTGCACATATGAAACCTTCCCTGCAGGCGTGAAGGGGGCCCTGGTTTGTAAACAAGGACATCCTAACACCGTCTAGCCTTAATCGTCCACCAGCCGCCTTCCTCTTCTGCAAAACGCTAAGCCAGCTCTGGCTTTTTGCATTTTTGCACAGGCAGAAATCTCTGTTTCTATCCGAACCAGGCTCTCTTTCCTTTTTGCCTCCAACAAAGGGGAAAAAAATCAATAATCCGAGGAGAGGCCAAATTAAACATCCCTGGGATTTTATCAAGAGCTGGCAGGAAAAACCGGCAATGAGGCTGCTCACCTCTCCTCCTGATCCGGAAACAACGAGGCCAAGGAAATGGCACAGAGAGCCGCGTAGGCGTATTTCCCCGGCTCACCCAACTGGGCGCCTGGACGTGTCCTCGGTCCCGGGTCTTCTTCTTCTTCTTCTTCCTTCTGTGGCTGGCTTCTCCAGGGCCTCCAGCCTGGCCGGGGATCAGCAGACATGGCCGCCTGTTCCTGCCAGGGGACACAAAAGCAGCCAAATAGGAATGCCAGAAGAATCTCTGCATCTCTCAGGTGGGTCAGCAAGCGGGATGTAAAAGCAACGGTCCTCCTCCCTCCTTCCTAGGGATAGACTGCTTCTTCCTAGGGAGGCTCCTGAACTCTTCTGCAGCGAAGCAGCTCGGATTCCAACTTTCTAAAGATGATCAGGGGGCTGGAGGCTAAAACATATAAGGGACAGTTGCTGGAATTGGGTCTGTCCAATTTAATGAAGAGAAGGACGAGGGGGGACAGGATAGCAGTCTTCCAACATCTCAGGGGGCTGCCCCAAAGAAGAGGCAGTCAAGCTATTCTCCAAAGAAACCTGAAGGCAGGACAAGAAGCAACGGATGGAAACTGACCAAGGAGAGAAGCAACCTAGAACTAAGGAGAAACTTCCTGACAGTGAGAACAATTAACCAGTGGAACCACCTGCCTCCAGAAGCGGTGAATGCTGCAACACTGGAAGTTTCTAAGAAGAGACTGGACAGCCATTTGTCCGAAATGGTGTAGGGTCTCCTGCCTGAGCAGGGGGTTGGACTAGATGACCTCCAAGGTCCCTTCCAACTTTATTATTATTATTATTATTATTAAGTCGATGGACTTCTCAAAAAACTATACAGAAGAGGTAAAGCAAGGAGACATTGCCAACATTGCCCTCTTTGCAGCTGCAGAAATCTCAAGATAGACTGCCCCTGTGCCCGAAGGCTCCATTGCCTTCCCAAGGCAGTCCCCAGGCATCCACTTGATTTTGTTTCGGTTTGCTGAGGGAATTAGCCCCTTTCCCAGTTTTTCTCAGACAGCGTGCATAAATGGAGCAAAGGGATTGTTAAAAGCAAGCAAGGACCATTAAAATGAACCAGGTTTAGTGGGTTTTTCATTGAGACGGTTCACCCTTTGGGGCGAATGCAGCCAAACAACACAGCCCTCCAGCTTGTTCCAAATAAAGGTAAGCAACAGGAGATCCTCACAACTGCCCAGGAAAGAGCACCCCCAGCCCAGCCTACTCTACCTTCCCCTCCTAACAAGGAGAAAGGGGACAAGGGGACCAGCCAAAGGAATTCCTCCCCTTTGCACACCGCACGATGAAAACTTTTGCCCTCCCTGTTGGAATTACTACAGGTCATAATCTGGATTACAGGGATGACGGCTTTGCAGATAATATCCCTTGAAGCAGCCATTAACAGACATAACAATAAAACAGTAAAATTCCAATTACTCGATGAGAGAATGAACTTTGTGGCACCAATTCTTCCGCAGGGACGGCTGAGCTCCCAGGACCAGGATCTGCTTTCGTTTCTCTTTACCTCACCTTCAGTCTACCTTTTCTTTCGTGTGACCTCAATCCAGGAAGTCAGAAATGTTTCCGATAGCGTTCCGTGTCCTCACAAAGGGCTCAGGAGCATAAAAAGCTGCTTTAACAGATCCACTGACATCCTAAGCGGGGAAACTCCTGATCATGAAAAGGCAGTTTTTCTTATCATCAGCAGTTTGATTGTTTTAAAGGGGATGTGTGAGAAGTAACTTACATACCAGGAAAAGTCCTGACCTCAAAGCACGGCAGTTGTTCCTTTTATTTCTAGCAGGCATGTGAATTCAAATGAACTCGTGACATTCTCACAGTTGACTTTTCCAACGTGGTTATGCTTTTACACCTGGTTGCCTGGAGGTCATTTTTGTGTTATTTTGTCAAATGCTGATAAACACTCCACCTGGTTAATGTCTCCGTTCCTCCTGGCTTTGAAGAACCACACATTTCTGTTTCTGGGAATGCTGATTTATTTATTTATAAATTTTATTTTATTTATAAAATCTATTGGCTGCCCATCTTACCGTAGGGTAACTCTGGGCGGCTTGCAGTTACATCTTAATTAAAACATAATGTTTGAATTTCCTAATGTCATTTTAATTTTGGTGATGTTTTGAGTTCGTAGCAAGGTTTGCTAGCTTTAGATTGTTTTTATACCGTGTTTCTGTAACAGCCACTTGTGTTATCCACTTCCTGGTTCTGTACACAAGGACACAAAGGACCTTCTTACCTAACTCACAAAAACCCAGCATCCCTTCTTTCCCCCTCCTCCATTTCAGTCTTAGAAGTCTTATACAATCTTGGGACCAGAAACGATTTCTGCCAATCATGTTTCTGAACCTGATTGATGTTTAGGACTAGTAACTCTATTAGCATGGCTATGTCCTGAACTATAGCTAGGACAGGATCCTTACCAGCAGTCTTTGCAAATTGGGATATCATAACTTAATATTTGCAGCAGATTGTGCCGAAACCCTTTCCCACCCATCAAGGTCTTTTTGATTTAGGACTTTAAACCTTGCTCAGAATATTCACGTGATAAAATTTCCAGATATCAGTAAGTGGTTCCCTCCTTGGTTTTCCCCAATATTTGGATATTTGTGATTATTGTTCATTCCGATTACAGGTAGTCCTCGACTTACAACAGTTCACTTAGTGACCGTTTGAAGCTACAATGGCACTAAAAAAAGTGACTTATGACCATTTTTCACGCTTACGACCTTTGCAGCATCCCCATAGTCACGTGGTCGAAATTCAGACACCTGGCCACTGACTCATATTTATGACGGTTGCGGCATCCCAGAGTCACGTGATCCCCTTTTGCGACCTTCTGACAAGCAAAGTCAATGGGGGGGGGGGGAGCCCGATTCACTTAACAACTGTGTGAACAACTGAAGAACTGCACTTAACAAATGCGGCGAGAACAGTCATCAAATGGGACAAAACTCACTTAACAAATTTCTCACTTGGCAACATAAATTTTGGGCTCAACGGTCGTCGTAAATGGAGGACTATCTGCATTCAATATTTATTATTAAGCAATTTATCGGGGTGGGGTGGGAGGGGATGTATCATTTAGGACCCCCCCAAACTCACCCGGGGAGCCAAAGATTTTCTGCAGAGACATCAGGGCCTGGGGTGCAGGTCATGCTCCCCCCATATCTGTGACTGGGGGGGTGTCCCCTTTACTGGTGCAATCTATGGGAAGCCTCCCCCAGGCCAGGGGAGACCCCAAATGGGGTTACCCTAGAATTAAAGGGGGTTCCCCCCCAAGCCCCAGCCCAAGCGATGGGGGGGTCTTTTTGAGCAGTTTCAAGGGAGGGGGGCTGGAAGCTGGTCTCCCCCAGGCTAGAGACCCCTTTGGGACCCCAAAGTGGGGAGGGGGATTGAAAACCCCCTTCTAAAACGGGGTAGGGGGCTTCCCCTGCTCCCCTTGTAATACATTTGTTTCCCTCCAAGGCTATTTCTACCCTCTGGGCTATTTTCACTTTATAATCAGGGAAGGAGCCCCTCCCCACCCTCGAGGGCCCCAAAGCCCCCTCCCCTTATCTTCCATTTATAAAGAAATCCAGCCCCCCCCCTCCCGAGACCCACCTAGCCCGTCCTGAAGCCGGAGAAAGGCCGCATCGGGCTGCGGAGCCTGCCCAGCCTCCCGGTCGCCTCAAGCGGGTTCGCCGCTCACTCCAGTCCGAGGCTCCGAAAGGCCGCCTAGGCCCCACCCAACGCCGGCGGCTCCGCGAAAGAGCGATTCCCGGACGGACCTACGTACAGGTGAGGCGTAAGGCACGCCGGAAAGTGGGAGGGCTACGCAAGTTTCGCAGCGACTCCAACAGGAAGAGGGAAGTGGCTTTTGAAAACACAAATAACGTGCGTTTAATCGGTGGAGGGAAGGAAAAGGAGGGGATTTTAAAATGCAAGGACCTTAAATCCTAATTGCAGCGGCAGTGCTCGACCGAGGGCTGCTCCTGATGCATTTAGATGCTCTCCTTTGCAGTAAACCTCTGCAGAGATTAAGTTTTGACTAAGCAGCTGACCGGAAAAAACAACGGATTTGCTGTTTGGCAACTGAAAATTTTCATGTCAAGGAAATTAATAGCTGACTAGCAATCAGGCTGCGATTAAAGGCACGTTGTCTAACTTTTGTGGATTTGCATCTTTATAAAAATAATTGCAATTCAATGCAAACGAACGTTTTTCTATCACAAAGGTGGGAAAACTTCAGCTGAACTGTGATTAATCTGTAAATGCAGTTTAATGTAGAATAGAATAGAATAGAATAGAATAGAGTTGGAAGGGACCTTGGAGGTCATCTAGTCCAACCCCCTGCTCAGGCAGGAAACCCTGCCTACACCATTTCGGACAAATGGCTGTCCAGTCTCTTCTTAAACACTTCCAGTGTTGGAGCATTCACCGCTTCTGGAGGCAGGTTGTTCCACTGGTTAATTGTTCTAACTGTCAGGAAGTTTCTCCTTAGTTCCAGGTTGCTTCTCTCCTTGATTAGTTTCCATCCATTGCTTCTTGTCCTGCCTTCAGGCGCTTTGGAGAATAGCTTGACTCCCTCTTCTTTGGGGCAGCCCCTGAGATATTGGAACACTGCTAATGTAATGCAAATGCAAATTTTCTAGCCTTTAGCTGCGCAAACAGAATAAAGCAAAAAGCCATCAAGGCAAAATTATCTTTATCTGAATCTTCACAGCATAAACATAAAACATTTCAGCAATGCTGGATGCTTCAACAGCCTCACTTCAGGGCTGCTTCATTGTGTTCGTTCCCACTTACTAAAGTGAATATTGGCTTCTGAAAACAATGGAAACCTCCTCCCCACAAACTATACATAAGAACAAACCCATCTGTATCCCCCATCAAATGTTTCCAGAAGAAATTTAAGTCAACCTGTGTGGAAGCCGCTCTGACATTGATTTAAATTCCCAGTTTACCAACAAAGTGTGTACTAATTTAAAAAACAATCTTTTTAAGCACCATAATTGTGTGTTTAACAATGGATTTAGAGCTTTCTGTTGTAAATGTTTATGCTTGTGCAGCCCTTGAAGAAAACTTCAAAAATGGCTAAATGAAAACCAAGACTACCCTTAACCACCCCCAATAAACTACACTCACATTTTTACCCCTTAAAGGACCACCTTTAAGGAAGACATGGAGACCACAGCTGTCCCAGTTGTTAGCCAGCTCTTTGGAGATAGACTGCATTCCATGGTGGAGTTTCCATCTAGATGTTACTCATTAATCATTGACTTTCTCATTTATTTATTTTTAAAGCCAGAAGCCACCCTTGGTTTATCATGGAGAAATAAAATCAAGTGAGAATTTATTCAGGCACCCTCCAAAATAAAACCCCATTATTCAAGAAGGCATCAGGATTGTGTTTGCTATTTTCAGACCAACAGGACGTGAAGCCAGATGCTACAAACAGCTATGCATCTCGGCCAAGATTTCCAGATGTGAATGCCACATCTGAACCCACCCAGCCCCCCTGACATCCATTCAGCCACCCCTTTGGTCTTGTGTGCTCAAGCACCAGTGCCCAAGAGACTTGTGGCCCGTGCTAGAAGAAGTCAGTCAGGCCATTTGATTGACCTTCTTTGCCCAGAAGGGCAGCGAAACACTTGGGTAGGTCCAACTGGGATCCCAACAAAGCACGGCGCAGATTATGCCGCCTAAAACGACCATGAAGCAGAGGAACCACGTCAGCAGTCCAGCGTTGGTGAAGGGGAGGATGAAGGCAATCAGCACCAAAACAAGCAGAAGCAGCAGGATGAGTCTCTTGACGGCAGCCTGGTTGATCTCGCCGGAATCCCGAGGTTGCATTTCAGGGGAAGGATGCTGCTGGCTGTGCCACACTCCGGCGGCGCCCGGGGTGCCAGCGATCTCTGCATCTGGATCTGCGCTCCCCAGCTGCTCCATGATGTGCTGTAGGTTGCTGAGGCTGCAGATGAGACCCCCAAATACCACGGTGGCCTTTCGGCAGAGGGGACAGTTGATGATCCAGGTGTGATCTTCTTGACACAAGATCATCTTCAGGCATGTGGCGCAGAAGGCATGCTGGCACGCCAGGACTTTGGGCAGCCGGGTAAGGCTGAATTGATGGAAACAGATGAGGCAGGTGGTGTCACCAAAAGAGACTCTGGACGGGCACTGCTGGAGAGGCGCTGGGGGTGACACCGTCACAGCGATGGGACTCAAAGATGCTGAAGTCTCCATTTCTGGATTTCGGAGTTCTAGATCCAGAGTTTTATTGCAAGACTTTTCCTCTTGAATGGAGCAGCAGCCCTCAATTTTTGGACCATCATCTGTTCCTGATGTCTCTCCAGAAATCTGAGATTGGTCCCTCGCTTCAATCACAATTTGCAAATTATCCATGGAAATTTTTTTGCAGAATTCGGCAGAGGGAGAAACGCGGAGCTCTCCCAGCAATAGGGACGAACCGCCTGCCTTTGACTGCATCTGTGGATTTGACAACTCCTTTTATAAAAGTGCTTTGTCCTAGCAACAGAGTAATTGCTTTGTTTAACTCTCCCAGCAAGTCCCACCCCTTTGGCAAAAAAAACCCAACCAAAAACTTGCTCACGTTGGGTGGGTGGATGTGTTTGTTTTCTTTAAAGCCAAATGGAGATTAAATTTAATCAGTAACTCCAATGACCACAGGATTTTTTATTTATTTTTTACCATGCCCGATAACGTAACATTGCTAGGCAATTCCGAAGGAAAGAGCAAACATTTCTTTACAATGGGCAAACAAAACCTCAAAGGGCTGCTTCAGATTTGAGCCAAGGAGATGGGAGGTTAAGTGCTGCAATTTGCTCAAAACAACTAGGGGTAGCTAGAAAAGTGCAGCCCGGGTGTTCCAAAGTTTACTCAACGGAGGACGTGTTTTGAGTAAACCCAAATGCAGAAAATGATTGGGAACAGCCTACTTATTTTATCTGTTTGGGGTCCTTCTGAATTTTTAGGGCCGACCCAGAAGCCGAGGATAAAGGCAAAGGAAGATTAAGGATTAAGAATAAACTGGAGTGTTTCAACTCCAGGAAACTTTATTGGTGCCCAGCTCCCCTGCCTTACAGAATAAACACAACATTCCCATTTGGGGGGCTGGGAGGGGGTCTGTGTCTGTAACGGCCTGCCCTGCCCTGCGGCAGGCGGCAAAGGAGCATGGGTTTTGCAATCCAGCTCCGTTGGAGGAAGGCGTGCAGTGGGAAACTAACCATGGTGTGATTAAGTCCGCTTCGCTGCGTCCAGAGTCGCCCTACTCCCCATCTTTGTCGTCTATAATGGGGAGGCTGTCGTAGGAGGGGAAATCCAGATGGGGAGGAAGAGGGATCTTCACTTCGTGGGGTCTGGGGGAAGAGAGGCTCTGAAACCGAGAGAGGAAGCCGGATCCAGCCACGTCGCCCGGGCAGTCTTCTGACCTGCAAAGGCTGCAGTCGTATAAGGAGCAGGGTTTCTCCTGCCAAAACTCCGAGGTCTTCAGGTCGAGCGACACGTTGACACCCCAGACGGCAAAGTGCCGTATGCGGGCCTGCTTCTGAAGTTGGCACATGCACACCCAGGGCTGCCAACTGTTCCAGTGGACGTTGGGGTCCCCTGCAAGCAGCAAGAGAAAACAAGGAGTCTAGCAACCGCAGTGAGAAACAAGGGAACTTGATTCAGAAAACAAAAGAGTAATATCCAGGGGTCATGCTGAGCCAGAAAGATGCTGGTGGGGAGGGGGGGAGGCTTGCCCCCCCTCCTTCAACCACCTGATCTACCTTAAAGGGCTGTTGTGAGAGTAAAACGGGCGAAGCTTATACTGTATGTGAAAAGGGAGGGGAAGGACTGCTTAAGCAGCGTTAACCATAAACAGGATATGCGTTTAAAATAAATGCAATTATTTATTTAAAGCAAAGGTATTTGAGAACACCAGGCATTCAAAGAATGAGCCTTGGGCACATTAAGTGGAGGCTATAAATTTAATTTTCTACCTGGATGGGCGTGCTACTTGTTTTCATTACATGCTGTTTTGAGGTTCATGAATCTTGATGATCTATGAAGCATGGATTAATTCAAGGAGAATTAATGAAGGTCTTGCAAATGCAGCCCCATCAAGGAAATAAACCATGTGGCTTTGAAAAGGTGGGGAGGTCTGCTGCTCCCTCCATTTCAGGGTCAGTCTACCTGCAGCCTGTACAGGTGGGAGCTGAAGGTGAACTGAATAGACGTGCATTTTTTTTCTCTTCCACCTTTCTTCGTATGAAGAACGGTGGCAGAAATTGAGTATGTCTAATGTAATTAAGAGAAGGGCCAGGGTGACTTGATAGCAGTGTTCTAATATTTGAGGGGCTGCCACAAAGAGGAGGGGGGGTGTCAATCTGTTCTGCAAAGCCCCTGAAGGCAGGACAAGAAACAACGGATGGAAACTAGTCAAGGAGAGAAGCAACCTAGAACTAAGGAGAAATTTCCTGACAGTGAGAACAATTAATCAGTGGAACGAATTGCCTCCAGATGTTGTGGGTGCTCCAACACTAGAGGGTTTTAAGAAGAGATTGGACAGCCATTTGTCTGACATGGTATAGGCCAGGGTCTTCTGCTTGAGCAGGGGGTTGGACTAGAAGACCTCCAAGGTCCCTTCCAATTCTGTTATTCAGTTATCACATGGGAAATCAGCATTACAGCATTCTGGCAGGCCCTGGGAATGAACAGAAAGAAAAGCTGGTCTACAGAAAAGCTGCCAAAGGCTAGAAGCATCACCACACTCTCTCTGGGGGGCACACCTGGACTTCCCCAAGGTAGAAATGATTAGAACGGAAGCTATAAATATTGTGATCCTTTACCAACAGCTGATGCAAGGCTAGCACCTCTGACATATTGGAGAGGCCAGAAAAATGAACAGAAAAAAGTCAGTATCTTCATTTTGTCTCAGCCGAAGATGTCCAATTCTGGACCACAGAAAGGAAAGGATGCTGTGTACGCATCACCGTGGCAACAAGGAAGGAGTCAGTCAACAACTGCAAACAGCCACAGCATCTTTGGAACACTCTGTCCTGGGTGGTTATCAAAAGTGGTTTATTTGTGGGCGCCAACTCCACAAATCGATTATCTCCGAGTCCAAAAAAGGTTTTATTCCTTTCCAAGACATTAAATATCCATATTAGTTTTTTCCCGATTTTTTAAATACATTTTTATAATCTGGTTCTCTGCGTTGATATGCCTTCCTGGAAGATGCTTGCCGCTTCTCAAGACACAGCCTTTAAAGTAATATTTATTCTTTTTTTAAAAAAAGAGGTATTTTTAAAAATATTTCAGTTTTAATTTTCTAAAAAAAAGGCATGCAGCACATGTCAACCTTCCCCTCCATCAAACAGGCCTACAGTTTTTAATCTGTTGTTTTTCTCCCCTGCAGAGGTGCTTATGGATGTGTGTTTTCATAAGCCATGTGGACTAAAAGACAATTAAAAAATAAATAAAAAGGTAGATTTTTTTTAAAAAAAAATCCAAATAAATGACTCACCCTGCTATTCCTGAACTAAACAATTTACAATTTACAATTTACACTGACTGTGGGGCACTCACACAAAACCCTCAGCTGTTCTGAGCAAAAAGAGGCGGCACCATCGGTACAAACTGGATGTGGTTTTAATGGAAAATTGCTTTGTGGCGTGGTGGCTTTCGGTGACCCTGCTTCCGAGGGGCGCTGCCGAGTTCGAATTCCACCACTCGAGAGCGGTCAAGCAGCTCGTCCGTCCTCGTCCCGCCTGCCACCCGAGAGACAGAATTCTGAAAAGCAGATTTAGAGATCCCAGTTAAAAAAGGCACTATGGCAATTTGGTTTGAAAATAACCCTTCCTACCAATTGTATTTCTGTTTAACTGCGAAATGCCTTAATTAAAAAATGAATTCTGCTCATTGAACAGACCACAAAATAGGCCCAGGCAAAAGCTGAATTTAAGTTTTGTTTTAATGCCATGACCCCTACTTTGCCTGCCACAGACGGATCAGCAAGACCATCGCAATAGCAGTTTGGTAGTCCTCATCTTACAACAATTTGTTTCGTGGCCATTTGAACTTACAACGGCACTGAAAAAAAGGGACTTATGACCGTTATTCACATTTACGACCGTTGCAGCATCTCGATGGTCATGTGATCAAAATTCAGACGTTTGACAACTGGCTCATATTTATGACGGTTGCAGCGTCCTGGGGTCACGTGATCCCCTTTTGCAACTTTCTGACAAGCTAAATAAATGGGGAAAGCTAGATTCACTTAACAACTGGGTTACTACCTTAATAACTAATAATAATAATAATAATAATAATAATAATGTTGGAAGGGACCTTGGAGGTCATCTAGTCCAACCCCCTGCTCAGGCAGGAAACCCTACACCATTTCAGACAAAGGGCTGTCCAGTCTCTTCTTAAAAACTTCCAGTGTTGGAGCATTCACCGCTTCTGGAGGCAGGTTGTTCCACTGGTTAATTGTTCTAACTGTCAGGAAATTTCTCCTTAATTCCAGGTTGCTTCTCACCTTGATCAGTTTCCACCCGTTGCTTCTTGTCCTGCCTTCAGGCGCTTTGGAGAATAGTTTGACTCCCTCTTCTTTGTGGCAGCCCCCTGAGATACTGGAAGACTGCTATCCTGTCCCCCCTGGTCCTTCTCTTCATTAAACTGTTGTTGTTGTTAGTTACGAAGTCGTGTCCGACCCAATCGCGACCCCATGGACAACGTTCCTCCAGGCCTTCCTGTCCTCTACCATCTTCTGGAGTCCCTTTAAGCTCACGCCTCCTGCTTCAGTGACTCCATCCAGCCCCCTCATTCTCTGTCGTCCCCTTCTTCTCTTGCCCCCCATCTTTCCCAGCATTAGGCTCTTCTCCAGTGAGTCCTTCCTTCTCATAGGTGGCCAAAGTACTTGAGTTTCAACTTCAGGATCTGGCCTTCTAAAGAGCAGTCGGGTTTGATCTCTTCTAGGACTGACCGGTTTGAACGCCTTGCAGTCCAGGGGACTCGCAGGAGTCTTCTCCAGCACCAGAGTTCAATTCATTAAACTAGACATACTGTAAGGACCCACCCCACTTTGCATCTTAAGAAGACAGAAGTCTTGGAATATTTCTTCCAACAGGCATCTTTATTAAGAGAGAATGGTTGCAGGCGTTCTAGACAGGACCTGGGGCCAAAGCCCTACGGTTCAAGGTTTTAAGGGGTCCCCAGCAGCTCCACCCCACCTCACCATCCTTCCAGCGACAATCCCAGGCGTTACATTTCCACCCCCTTTTTCCTCACTGCCGGTGGAAGGGAGACTTCAGAGGGGAGTAGATGAAAGCTGATGGCCCCATTGTTATGATTAGTCCTTTTGGTGGTATCCACATTCAGTCCCTTTGAAGTTGTACGGAAGGAAATGAGGGCCATAAAATCCCTTTGTTCACCCCCCTTCCCTTCATCGTATGACAGAATCCAGAGAGGGCAGAAATGGGGTTTTCCATAGTCGATTACTAGAGATGAAATATAATTGGATTCTGACACATCCCCAATTCCAGCAACCATTCCTTGTATGTTTTAGCCTCCAGTCCCCTGATCATCTTTGTTGCTTTCTAGAATCTCAACATCTTTTTTTATACCGTGGTGACCAACTGCAGTGCTTCACTTAACAACTGGGGCTAGAAAGATCCCAAAATGCGGCAAAACTCATTTAAGAACTGTTTTGTTTAGCAACAGAACATTTGGGCTCAACTGTAGTCATAGGTTAAGGACTCCCTATAGCAGGGGTCTCCAAACTTGTCAACTTTAAGACTTGTGGACTTCAACTCCCAGAATTCCTCAGCCAGCCCTGAGGGCTGGCTGAGGAATTCTGGGAGTTGAAGTCCACAAGTCTTAAAGTTGACAAGTTTGGAGACCCCTGACAAGTTTGGAGACCCCTGAAGAGTGGATGTTCCCGGACAGACAGTTCTTCCTGTTTACCTGATATGGACACTGAGAATCCAGAGATGAATGTAGATCTAGGCTGCTGACGATGGGGGTGGACACTCGGATGGGGTTCTCCCAACCAGCAAGGCAGTGCTGTGGGAACAAAGATGGAGACAGCTTCAGCGTTTTTGCCGAGTTTCGCATATGGAGATTCTCCGTCATCCAGGCCACGGGGGTCCCAAAGGTGCTTTTTCAGGAGACAACTGGACTTTCTTGGGTTTTTTTTTTCCTTTAAAGACATTTTGCTTCTCATCCAAGAAGCTTCTTCAGCTCTGACTGAATGGAATGGTGGGGAATGGAAGGATGACGACCAGCGGCCTGCAAGGAGTATAAATCCTTCCACTCTCCACGGTCCAGTCAGAGCTGAGGAAGCTTCTTGGAGGAGAAGCGAAACATCTTCAAAGAAAACCAAGAAAGTCCAGTTGCCTCCTGAACTTTCAGCAGTTAGAGCTGAATTGGGAATCCATACAATTCATGCTCTATCCAAAATTAGAGCTTATGACTACTGGTGCAAAGTCAATGAAATGGAGACTGATAGACTCCCCAAGTTATGTCTACTAGAGCAAATAAAATTACAACCACAAATCTCCTGGATCACCAAACTAACAAATTTTGTAAGAAGCTGTGGTCTTCCTGTCTCTTGCGTAACAGGAGAACAATTCA